ACTATAAGCAGGTAGGAACACTTGAATGGTCATTTTGATGACTTGCTAGAGATTGAATGTGGACTTGCATGAGAGTGAGAACCCCAGTGAGGTTGAAGTCTTACAGAGCCCCCCACTTATTAGTGAAATTTATCTTTAGGATTCTGAACATGTTCAGTGAAAATCTGAGAAGGATCCCCTTGTGGCTCTGATAGGAGGGGAAGAGTCTACGGCCATACCACCCTGAACGCGCCCGATCTCGTCTGATAGGAGGGGAAGAGTGATCACAGTGAAATATACCCAGAGACTTCCCCAGATTGGAAGCCTACTCTCCAGAGGAAGCAATGCTGCAGAGCCTTAACCTAGGTGAGAGAGCCTTCCTCTACTCCATTTAGTCTTTCCATCTACATAGTTGTCAGGAGGCAGGAAGAGAAAACAGATGGTGACTACTGCAGGAAGGGATGGGGGTAAGGGTAGGAGGAAAAAGAGCACTAGAGTAACACTTTTGAAGGTCACAAGCCTAAAACACAAGCCCACAAAAATCTGAAATTAAATTGAAAAATTAAAGAATTGTTTCTTCATGCCATACACCTTACCACCACACCAACAGGGCTACAATGTCGTAATGAACAGTGGATGACAGCTGAAAGAGATGCAAGATGTGGACTCTTTCTGAGGGCGTTCTTAGGTTATCCCAAAGCCAACATGGGAGAGAAAAACAAGGAGACTGGACAAATCGTTAACCTTTGTAAACTTTAGGTACAGAAAACATTAAACATAGCCTAACTCCTACTTATATTACCGTTAATTTTCACACTCAGTTTGTATTACTCAAATTGTGGTACATCCATATAATCAAATATTATTCAATAATGGAAAAAAAGAGGTATCATGCCACAAAAAGACATAAATTGTTCTTAGATGCATGTTACTAAACAAAAGAAGCCAGTCTGCAGAGGGTGCATACTGCATTATTTCAATTACATGACATTCTGAAAAAAGCCAAACCTATTAAGATAGTAAACAGATAAGTGATTGCTAGGGGATTGGGAATGGGGATAAATAAATGAAACACATGGAATTTTTAAGATGATAAACTCTTCTATATGAAAATGTAAAGGTGAAACATGTCACTATTCATTAGAACCCATTGAACTTTGCTTCACAAAAAATGAGCTCTAAAATATACAAATTAAAAAAATCATTTAGAGGATTAGAGAATCTCAGGATGGATTACAGCTTGTGACAAAAGAATCTGTTTTACAAATGTATGAAACATCTTCACTGAAGGGAATGGAAGAGAAATGGTAATTTTGGAAATGAGTAGAGTCTGTAAGACTAAAGGAACAAAAGCATAGCTGCCCCTAAGCACTGACTGCACTGTAGTTGAGGAAAGTTGAATCCCAAAGAGGTATGGATTACAATTCTGATACTGTTCTTCACGTGTACTGGAATTGAACAAATAAGTAAATGTGTGGCAAAGGGTAAGGGTCAAATTTATCATTGTTGTCTGGGAATTTACCAATAAAAAAAGTGAAGAAGCTAGAATGATCCCTGCAATGATGGATTAGTTAAAGACACTGATATAAACTCATGTTTAGCTTACTATAGATACAGATGGCTACATATAAAAATATTTGTGGAAATGTCTATAAAAGGATTCATAAGCACAAGCAGGATCTTGGTTTCTAATAGCATTCTCCAATAAATCCACATCTGAGCAAGAAGTATGTAAGTTGAGTGTGGAGCACCTTGTAATGCCAAGTAAGGACATGCTCAAACAGACAAACAAACATTGGTAAGGGTGTGGAAAAGGGATAGAGAAACCAACTGAAAGAGCTCTCAATGGCCAAAACTGGAACAATTTATGCAACAAAATAAATGAGTATGAGAATATAACCAAAGTACAAAATAAATATGCATTAAGTCTATGCTGATATAAATTACTGAAAAATTACTGAATAGATAAATAAATGTGAGACAATAGGCAGATCTCCCATGTAAAATAATTCCAAATATATTATCTAGATACTCTGCTCAAGGAGGTAGAACATCACTACCCACTCCTTAAGTGTTGGCTGAGAATAGTGACTTCTTTCCAAAGAATACCATATGGAAAATGGGGAGGGGAGGTGTAACTTTAAAGTGAAACCTGCTGAGAACTACCTCAGCCAGATGATCAAGATTAGCAGCAACAGTGATAGGGATGTTGCCTGCATATACCTTTGATATGGTTTGATGACAATGGCCTTTAACTCTGTGATGTTCCTCCCCAAATCCCATAAACCCCAGGCTAACCATGAGAAAACCATGAAATAAATCTTAATAGAAGGACATTCTACAAAATACTTAACCGGGACTCCTGAAAACTGTCAAGGTCATCGAAATCAGGGAAGCCTGAGAAACTAAGAGCCTAAGGTAACACCACTACTAAATGTAATGTGGTGTCCTAGAAAACATCCTGTAATTGGATCAAAGATAAAAATCATTTCATAAAGGAATGATAGTTATAACAGAAAGCACTATAATTTTTAAGAAATTAATTTGCACAGGCAGCTAGGTGGCTCAGTCAGTTAAGCATCTGACTCTTGATTTTGGCTCTGGTCATGATCCCTGGTTGTGAGATTGAGCCCTGCATTGGGCTCCGCCCTGGTTGTGGAGTCTGCTTGAGATTCTCTCTCTCCCTCTCCTTTTGCCCCTCCCCATCTCTCGCTCTCTCTCTATTAAATAAATAAATCTTTAAAAAAAGAAATTAATTTGCAAACATTTCTCCTCTACTTGGAAAAATTACTCAAACCCTTATTTTACACCAAGAAGTCGCTTAGCATTCAGTTCTGTGTACTGGCAAGGTCACAGAAATTCAAGCCAATAAATACAGATTCTAATTACAGTGCTTTGTCTCTTATTATTCAAGACTTCTCTGAAAATCACTTTCCTAATTTGTGTCCAAAAAAACCGAAAATCTTATATGGGCACATATATTTCCTTGCTCTGTTCTTTTGATGTTATATAAGGGATACACTCACTCAAGGTTATGTATAATTCTAGATGTATGTTTTTAGTAAAGTTCACTGTTAACTCTGTTTTTCCCAGCCTTACTAAGATATAACTGACATATAACTCTGTGTACCTTTAAGGTGAACAGTGTGTTGATTTGATACTCTTATCTATTGCAATGTGATTACCACCATGACCTAGTTAACACCTCCATCATCACATAATTACCATTTCTTTTTTATGGTGAGAACACTTAAGATTTACTCTCTTAGTAATTTTCAAGTATACAGTGCAGTACTATTAACTATAATCACAATATTGTGCATTAGATCCCCAGAATGTTTTCATATTCTAATTGGAAGTTTGTACCCTTTGGCCAACATCTCCTTAATTCTCCCACCTCTCAGCCCCTGACATGACCAATGGGTCAAAGAAGGAATTAAAATGGAAATCAGAAAATATCTCAAAACAAATGAAAATGTTAACTCTTAATTAAAGATCCCACACTTAGTAAAATTGCATGCTAAATTTGATTTTGCCTGTTAGAGATGCGAATGATTGCTGTTCGGTGGACATATCACTTTATGTCCCAGGTGGACATTAGCACCTCTATATGAAATCCTGCAATGATTTATATAAATATATAAATATAAATGTTTTCTGGTCATCACACTTCTGGTCATCACACTTACTGCTTTTGTTACTGGAGTAGTAAGTTCATTCCTTACTCATACCATTTGCCAAATAACCAAATAACAAAACAGTATTTGTTGGCAAGCAGGTAATTTATTCAATGTCAAGAGAATGGAGAAGGGGAGCGCTAAAGGCACCGTCTCCTTGATTAGGTCCCATGGTATGGGTTTTACAGTGTTAGAGTAATGAAGGGGCTGGTAAGCAAGCTGACCTTGGGTATTTTTGTGGAAGGGGGAGATGACTTCTCCAATTTAGAGTGCCACCTCTTTTATTCCCTTAAATGGGCACAGTTGGATCTGTTATGGCACTGGTAGGTATGTTTTTTATTATTACAATTAGATGATAATGATCGAGGGTTAGCAGGGTGTCTGAACTGGACCAAACCTGTGAAGACTGGGTCATGGGGGCTTGTTTGGACATCTGGCCTTAGTTTCTGATGGCAAGCAGCACCTGTAAGCCAGGGCTATAAAACTGGGTTATTGTGGCTTGTTAGCGACTTCCTGGTGACACTCTCTTCATTAATTAATGAGGTAAATAAAATTTTGACATGTGTTTATTTTCTATTAGTATGAGAGTCATGATATTATTTCTTCTTTATACTTTGACATCTGTTAGGATGAATAAAAATTCAAAATTTTATTTGAAGAGTTAAAGAGCACTGTATTAGTGTTACTGATTTAAATCTTATAGAGATTAGGCAATACTTTAAATGAGTTAGTAAGTGAGAAATTTTTTCATATGAAATGAATAGGAAATGGTGAGCCATAGGGATCTGGGGAGCAGATGGAAGTATGTATGGAAATTATCCAGAGAAAGTGGGTTATCAAGTGCCCTCATATAAAATAGAAACTTTTTTAATACTGTCAACTCTTTCTAATCACACTTGTGTTATATCATCCCATAAAGTAAATAAATAAATAAGTAAAAACATTAAAAATAAAACTTTGAGATCAGAATTAACTCTTGGACTACCAAATTAAAGTGTGTTCTAGGTGTGTCATTTTTCTACATGTGATTTATAAGTATAATAATTTGCTTCCTCTCTAGATACAAGATTTATGTTAAAAGTGCCTTTATCACAATTTTAAAAATATGTTGGGAAAGTCTTGCTTACATAACACTTGAATAATTTCTCTAAATGCAATGTCTGATTTCAGAAAAAGACAATTTTAATATTGTAAGCAAAATCCATCACACAGGGAACAACAGTATTTCAAACATGCTACATTAACATTTTGTTCACCAAATGTACACTGTCCAGAATGCTACATAAACACACGCAACATCGTTGGACAATTTAGTGTTGAAATGTTGCTGATTTCCCTTTCCAGGTTTCTGAGCAGCTGACAGAGGAGGAATAAAGTTTACACTTTAAAACCCCTTGGTAATTGGAAATGAGCGCTTTGTTGCTCTTGTCATTGGAGCAAGCAGTTTCTGAGTCATTTGGGGCCTCACATCAATGCATTTGACAACAAATTGCTGGACGGAAATTCCCAGCAGTGTTACTCCTGAACTTCTCTCTTGTTGCCCTAGGCTGTAGTCAAAGTTTCTCAGCACTCGACAGGTAGAAACTTTCCCAGTATTGACATTTGTGATGGCATCACTTATTTATATGAAATGAGAACCAATTTCTCACTTAGGATTGCTCAGGTAAAATGAGAAAGTCAAATGTTAGATCCTTCTTTTAAATTGCATGGGAGGACACTAGAAGCATTAGATGCTCTGCACTTACAAAAAAGCAAAAAAAAAAAAAAAACTTTTACAAAATTACATCTCTGTTGCTGTCCTCTGCATACCTCTAAGCAGCTTTCAGCCTGAACTGTACTGTATGAACACTGACCTAAAGAAGAGTTAGTCAAGAAACACTTTGTCTATCACGGGGAAATATGGTTTAAAAAAAAGAAAAAAAGGCTTGAATTCTTTCCTTTTCAAGTCCTCCAACTTTCGTTGCAGAAACACTTAAACACCCATCCAATCAGATTAATAGAGCAACATTTATTTTGAGTTTTTTTGTTGTTTTATTTTATTTTATTATGTTAATCCCCATACATTACATCCTTAGTTTTTGATGTGGTGTTCCATGATTCATTGTTTGCATATAACACCCAGTGCTCCATGCAGAACGTGCCCTCTTTAATACCTATCACCAGGCTAACCCATCCCCCCACCCGCCCCCCTCTGGAACCCTCAGTTTGTTTCTCAGAGTCCATAGTCTCTCATGGTTCGTCTCCTCCTCTGAGTCCCCCCCTTCATTTTTCCCTTCCTACTATTTTCTTTTTTTTTTAACATATAATGTATTATTTGTTTCAGAGGTACAGGTCTGTGATTCAACAGTCTTACACAGTTCACAGCGAATAGAGCAACATTTAGTTAAATGGATTTAAGTTAATGTATTATGGTATTGACTGGAGGTAATCTCTAGTGGCATACTCTTTTTATTCCTACCTAGTTCAATATCATCACAAATGGCATTGCTGTAATGTTCACCAAATTTGCATATTATACAAATCTGTAAAGAGAAGTAATAAGTTAAGTGTCTGAGGTAGGAAACAACCTGTCTTTTTCAGCTGGAATGATGAGCTGAATTTACAAGACTAAATGCAAAGAAAAAAAATATATATGTTGATAATATATGATACATTAAAATATATATACTCAAATATGTTTATGTGTGTATATATGTATATGTATATATATTCCACATATATGCATCAAATAATATAAATATTATGTAACATAAAATAGATTATTATAATATATTTACTATAATATATAACATGTTATATGTAATATAAATATATAATTTATTATAATATGTTATAAATATATTTATATATTATATATCATATTTATAATATATGGTATAAATATATATTTGTATATACAATATGTATACATGTATATATAACATATATATATATATATTCCACATACATGTACTGAATAGTCTAAGGTAACATAGATGCTAGTAATTAGAAGATATTAAGTATGAATGAACAACAGTATAAATTTGTGATGTTTTTCACTTATTCCTCAAAATAATTTTGTGGGATAAGTCATTTATATTAATAAATCTAATTTTGGAATCTCTGTCTTTACTATGGAGAAGATAACCCATCTAATAAATTGCAATTACTATTTCATTGAGTTAAAAAGTTTTCCTAGAATTTTTTTTCACCATATCTTGACTTTCAAATTTTATTTTTAGTGTTGTAAAAAAGAAATCTCTAGCATGCTATTTCAAAGAATTTCTTTTGTAATAGGGAGTTTTTATATCAAGAAAGAGTTGTTATATAATCATTTTAAAACTGAATATAAACAAAAAGAAGGCAGAATGGAGATTATCGGACTTTTAACTGTCATTTAGATAAGTAATGTATTATCTTTTATATAATGTATAATTATAAGAAATGCATCCCTTTTATAGAATGTTTCTATTTCCATAAGGATTAAGTATTCTCTCTTCTTATACCCTAGGATGAAGCTATGTTTTTGTGCTTTTTCTTCATCATTGGCTCTTCATTCCAAGTACTTTATGCTGTCTCTAATGGGATCTATTTTTGCACTGGAATATCTGAGCATTGCAAAAGTTTGTTTCCCAGAGGTCTTAATTTCTTCATATTTTATATTAAAGTTGCTAAGCATTTTATCATGAATGCCAATTTCTTTCGGGAAGGAGGTTGTGAACTATATCACTAAGAAAGAATCTGTGTACAACCATGTTTAGAATATTAGAATAATACTTCTTGATTATTTACAATACTGTGGGGACAAATATTTCTCAATTTATTATTTTTTTCTGTTCTCACTTCTTTCTAACTTTTTTTTAAATTTCCATATATGATTTTAAAAAATTTCACTTATAGAAAACTTTCTTACGCTGATATGAATATTATATGCACATGATAAAAAACCTCTGTATTTGTGCCTATTCATCTGTCCTAATCCACAAATCCCTGGCAATCACTGATCTTTTTACTTGTCTCCATAGTTTTGCCTTCTTCAAAAAGTCATATAGTTGGAATGATACAGTATGCAACTTTTTCACATTGCATTATTTCACTTAGTAATATGTATTTAGGGTTTCCCCATGTCTTTAGATGGTTTGATAACTCATTTCATTTTAATGCTGAATAATAATCCACTGTCTGAATGTACCACAGTTTATTTATACATTCTCCTGCTGAAGGACATCCTGGTTGCTTCCAAGTTCTGGCAGTTTTGGATAACACTGCTATTAACATACTTGTGTGCAGGTTTTTGTGTGGAATTAAGTATTCAAATTATTTATGTAAATAGCAAGGAGTATGATTGCTGTATTACTCCAATTAGAGTTAACTGATTTGTAAGAAGTCACCAAACAGTCTTTCAAAGTGGCAGTACCATTTTGCATTCCCACCAGAACTGTATGAGAGTTCCATTTGCTCCACATCCTCACTGGTATTTGGTGTTGTCACTGTTCCAGATTTTGGCAATTCTAATAGGTGTATAGTGGTATTTTATTGTTTTAATGTGCATTTTATGGATTCCATATAATTTGGAACGTTTTTATATGCTAATTCGCCATGTGTATATCTTTGCTAGGGAAGATCTGTTAAGGTCTTTGCTCTATTTTTTAATTAGGTTGTTTGTTTCTTATTGTTGACTTTTAAGGGTTCTTTATATATTTTGTATACTATCCTTGATCAGATGTGTCTTTAGCAAATATTCTCCCAGTGTGTAGCTTGTTATCTCATTCTCTTGATTTGTTTCTTTTTTTTTAATTTTACTATGTTCAGTTAATCACCATACATTACATCATTAGTTTTTGATGTACTATTCCATGATTCATTGTTTGCATATAACACCCATTGTTTGCATGTTCCATTCAATACCTGCCCTCTTTAATACCCATCATGAGACTACCCAAGCCCCCTCCCCCCTCTAGAACCCTCAATTTGTTTCTCAGAGTCCATAGTCTCTCATGGTTCATCTCCCCCTCCAATTTCCCTGCCTTCATTGTAAGTTTCCTACTATCTTCTTCCTTTTTTTAACATATAATGTATTATTTGTTTCAGAGGTACAGGTCTGTGATTCAACAGTC